TCTAATGCTGAGATGAACAAGGCTGGGTGACGATTACTTTGCTTCCTGGCTTCTCGGCATCTTTACCTAGCTAGCTAGCTGGCTGGCATCAGTGAGGGGGGGGGGGGGTCCGTCTCGGAGTAGAGGCGCGCGATTGTTATCCTGCAAACGGATGGCCCCACGATCGAGCAATGCGCTGTTGGCTCCCATAACAACGCGCATCCCGTGTTTTGGTGTCAGCTATCTCTCGCGCCTGTCTCTAATAATAATAATAATAATGATAATAATCTAATAAAAATAAGAATAATAATAAGTCATAATTTGGACGCGCTAAGATTGCTTCAGATGTGATCCTGTTCGCAGTTCGACGTATGTAGGGCCTATATACTCTATGCGGCTGTATACTGTATGCTGATGATTCTTTCTTCTTTCTTCTTCTTCTTCTTCTTCCTTCCTTCCTTCTTCTTCTTCTTCTTCTTATCGTCGTTGCAACCAGTAGAGATTACAAAACCCCGGAGTAGAAATCGACGGTAGGCATGTTTTGCGTTCACCTGGCTGAATGATTCAGGGTGTTTTCAGTGCTTCGGAGTGATTCGGGTGTAATGCTGTTCTATACGGTACAACTATAGGCTATAGGGGAGCGTAGCTATCCATTTTGCCCGGGGGCTAAGCCACGTGTATATCGTGTTCTGGAAAAGGAGCGCTATATTGACCATGAGATGTATATATACGTGTGTCAGCGGCAACTGCCCCCTCCCTCCGCTAGCTACAGCCCTAGACTAACAATATTGATAGTTTTAGTCTAGGTATAATATATTTACGATAGTAGCCGTCGGATTAAGACCTGTTTTGCAGTTACGCGCGTTCGTGATTGGTCGTGCCTGTGTGTCGATATGTGGGCTACATAGAAGTGATTTGGCTATGTGCGTAGCAGCCGGGATATAAATAAAAATGTGCGCGAAAATGGCACAATTTACATACACTCACCTATTCACATTATATTATGTTTATCCCGTTTAACGCATAACTTATAGTTACGCGCAATCTTCCGATCTCGCGCATAATCTTATATAAGATTGCGCTGCGCATTCTTACGGAGCCAAGCAACCGATCGCAGGCTTAAACGTGCGGCGGCAATCTTAATATAATATTGCGCCGATCGGAAGCTTTCGTATTCTTAAAACCGGCGAAATTGCGCGAGCTGCCACCACAGTGTACTGAAACAAACTAAAATATACGTTTGCACTATAAAGACAGCCTGCGCGGTGATCAAATAGCTGTAGGATCAGCGGGCCTGTTTTATCAAGAAGCTGTAGGCCCGGCATCGAAACTGTCGGTGGTGGGCCGACGGGCTGACGTGAATTTCGAACACTGGGAGAAAGGTTCGTGTTTATAATAAACCCAGTTTGAAAGTTCTAGTCTCGAAAAACGCACCATAAAACCGCCCTGAGTGAATCTCTTAGGGGCTCCTCCAAAGAAAAGAATAGGCTCGCGTTGTAACCCTACTCTTGTTGGTTTACATTATTGTATCTAGACTGCAAATGTACCGTAGCAATGTGTGTGCCTCGTGAGTGGAGATGTCGGTTGCAAGCCAGTCTAGAGTGCACTCAGAACATAGATATAGAATATACACAGCAAGCCTACTGAAATTTCTGGGGAGAACCCTGTATACAGTTTTCATTTTTTGTTTTTCAGCTAATAAGATAAATTGTGAAGTTATAAATAGCAAATATCAACATGGTGCTCGCTGATTTGGGACGTAAGATCACGACAGCCTTGAGATCTCTCAGCAATGCGACTGTCATCAATGAAGAGGTATGGTAATCTTGATACAGATGTAATGGGGTGTAAGTATAGAGTGTATATCTCTATTTTAGTTAAAGTTTAGTGGAAAGGTATCTTTAACATCATTGGTTTGTGCACCCAGTATAAATAAACCTTTGCACATGGCACTGAAGACATGTCATCAATGTGGTAATCTAAACATTCTGATACTTTTTCTTCTAATTATTATTATTATTATTGTGATTACCATTGATGCACCTTCACATTATTTGCAGGTTTAAAAGTAATTGCCACATAGTATGCAATAGGTAACTAATCGGCATGGCAGAGGAATAATAAGCAGTCTGTGTAGATATTGCTGTTTTGTTTTCAGGTGCTTAACTCTATGTTAAAGGAGATATGCAAGGCCCTCCTGGAAGCTGATGTCAATATCAGGCTAGTTAAGAAGTTAAGGGAAAATGTGAGGTAATTTACACATTTGAAACTTTTCTTGTCTTTTTTTAGAATGAAATACTCATCAAGTATGTGTTTGGTCACCTGTGATGCACCTGATTCATATAACTAATAAATTGCAGAAAAGTCTGGTCAGTTTGTTAAATACACAATGATTGACAATTCACAGACTGCTTTCACAGTTTTAACTGTTTTATAGGTCTGTAATAGATTTTGACGATATGGCAGCTGGTCTGAACAAGCGCAAAATGATTCAGTCGGCTGTCTATAAAGAACTTGTGAAGGTACGTTACCATGAAGCCCAATTGGCACTGGCTAAACAAAATTGGAACATACAATAATGGCCTGGGGGCAGTTGTCAGAAACAAAATTGGTCTTAACATTAGTCTTAACATTAACTTCCACTCGTAAACCGTTGACAGAAACATTGTAATGTTACGAGAACGAAAAATCCTCGGAAATTTCCTCCTAACATTACGAGAGCCCAGACACTCTCGTAACTTTAATATTAAGATGAAAATAACACATTTAGACTAATAATTACAATTATAGTGACATCAGATTGTATATTAATGAGTAATATGTGTGTTTTTCTTGAAAAACACGTCACAAACATTAATTATCTACCGTTCGTAAAACAAAACAAAACATTTACATATGGCGTATGGCATTTGTTCTCTTGTTTTGAATATTCTGCACTGACCACGACTCTCGAGTCTCGTGTTACAGTGTGAAAATTTGTCTTGTTGTGCAGAATAAATTTAAGACCGTGTCGTTTTTTATCAAATATTATTTATGTGGTTAGCCATCATAATATATGCATAAATTACTGTGATGTACAATAAATGTGTATGAATTTGAATTTTGTGATCGATTCTCATCCAATCAGCAGCCTTGTGACATCAAATTATGAAGTTCCTGTTATCGTGAGTTTTCTAATAGCTGCGATGTGCTTCTGTCAACGCTCCTCTCGTAACATTAACATTAGTCGTAAGTGCTGTCTTAGCATTAACATTAGCATTAACTTTATGATGTTTCTGACAACGGGCCCCCTGGTTAAAATAATTAAGTAACGTGATGCTAATGTATTCATATTTGTATTTTGTTGCTGAGCCATAGGGATCAGTAACCTGTGAAAGCAAGTGATCTGTAATTTCCTGTTTTTTAGTGGATATGGTTTGCTGCTCCTTTGCTGTGAATGGTTAACAATTTAAGAATTAATAAATACTTTGTGTCCTTGAACACACATGCAAACTCATCTTACATCAGCTGAAGTCTTTGTGATTAAGAAAACTCATAGTATAGTTGCTTATGAGCATTGTAGTGGTCAGACAACAAGAGACATGAGATGGAATAAAACGTTGTCTCGATACATGATCGATTAATGATATATGCTGATTATTAATGTTTATAGTCTGTGCATAGTCATGCTTTATCATATCTAAATGATATGTGATACTAGTATATGTGAGTAAAGTGAGGTTGAGTAATATGATAGCACGATGCGAGGGAGCTAATCGTGCACCTGACTGTCTAGTGTATTTTCTCACATTGCATGTTCACAAGTATATTGTTGGTTGCAGTTGGTAGACCCAGGGGTGAAGGCCTGGCAACCACACAAAGGTCGTCCAAATGTCATCATGTTTGTAGGTCTACAGGGCAGTGGAAAGACAACAACATGCACAAAGGTATGTTCAGCGGCACGTTACCTAAAGATGTTTTAGATCAGATGTTTTTGATTACCTATCATATAAGATGGCAATAATTATGCAAGCAAAAACCTTGCATTTCCAATGGTTTAACCTTTCATTGCCTTTGAAGGCTGCTGCCTATCGGTTATTGCAGGCATGAAATAATCATGTAGATGTATTGTAGCTGGCATACCACTACCAAAAGAAGGGCTGGAAGGTGTGTTTGATCTGTGCGGATACCTTTCGTGCCGGTGCGTTCGACCAGCTCAAACAAAATGCCACCAAAGCTAGGATACCTTTCTATGGCAGGTGGGGACATCAGATGCAGTGCTTTAGATAAATAGAGAGATAGATACGTTTAATTAACTCTCATAAACAAACAATGCATGTATGTACAAAATGAATATAGGTGAGGTGCAAGGTAATTTGGTTAGCAAATGTTTCTGAGCCTATTCCCTATGCAGTGCTGTGTTATTGGCATGGTATGATTTGATTTTTATGTTAATCTTGGACTAATACCTTCAAGTTTTATTGTCAATATTAGATTATTAATTTTGAGATAACTCCTTTTATGGATAACTTTTACTAACAAAAGTTGTCGATAACCAGTTAGCTGCTGCCATCTGGTAGCAAATTCAAGCAACTGACAGTATAGCTCGACAAAAGTCAACAGACGAGTTTTTGAAACTGTCACGTCAATAAAAGTTAAGGATTCATCTCGAAGTTAAATGAGCTAATACCTTGGTTGTCTAAAATTTTAGTCATATCAGAGTTATAGTTTGACATGTTCCGTTTTTGAAGAAAAATGTCATCAATAAAATTATATAATTTTTCCCCAGTTACACAGAAATGGATCCTGTAGTAATTGCTCAGGAGGGCGTTGATAAATTCAAGCAGGAGAATTTTGAGATCGTAATTGTGGACACTAGTGGTCGCCACAAACAAGAGGAGTCTCTTTTTGAAGAGATGTTGCAAGTTTCAAATGTTACCGTACGTATATCTTTTTAACTATCAGGTTTGTTGTATCGGTTAAGAAAGGGATTTTTGTATGAAATGTGATGAATATTTTCAAGTTTTGTTCATATAATTAATATTTTCTATTCACGTTTTGCAAACAATCGGTCATTATTTATATTTCGTTAAAGTATTTATGATTTCAACCAGTATCTAAAGTACGTTTTTCTTGTATCCTTGTTATTTTCTTTTCCTATTGGCATGCATGTTATGGTTACAGCCGTGCGGTTATGGACATTGTCAAGGTGAAATGTAAAGTTATATTTATGTTATTTTCAGAAACCAGACAACATAGTTTACGTGATGGATGCTTCAATAGGACAGGCCTGTGAAGCACAGGTTAGTGCTTACGAATTCTTATGTGCTGTGAATGTGACAAGCATGCCAATTATAAGTCTACTATATTTTATGTTATACTACTGTATGTAACATATCTGCTGAATTTTGTATGCTTGAAGCCTTATCAGAAGTTGTCGCTTGTCACTCGTCTATTTTTGCAAAGACAGCACGTTAGATTGGATGCTGTTCAGTGTAATCTTAACGTAGGTTTCTCTAATTAATTATTTATGATTATACATTTACTCAGTGTTTTAATTGCTATAAGCTTCTCATTTAGCTTTAAAGTCACGGTACTTGTGACTGTTAGTAGTATCTACATATATATTCTTGTTACATGTAACATTACCCAGTGATCATGTGAAACAGTAAAGCGGTTTTCCAATAAAGGCTAGAGCTTTCAAAGAAAAAGTCGACGTTGCTTCTGTGATTGTGACAAAGTTGGATGGTCATGCAAAAGGTGGAGGAGCGCTTAGTGCGTGAGTATATCTATCACCTAATACGATGAGGGATGTGATCAGCGTGCTTTTATCCGACACAAAGTATGGCGGTGAAGAGAGTTGTAGAAATCCAGCTGGCGATATGTGTTTATTTCTACACTTACTCTTGGTGCTTGAGTATCACAGGACCACACACATGTTCTCGTGTGTCTGGTGGTGAAATCACGATGTTTACTTGTTTTTTTTCTACTTACTAATTGGAGACCACGTCTCTGCCATGCCTCATTAATCAAATAATTATATTTATATATGTGAAGTAATTTCTTGTGGTTTCTTTGTCCCCCAATCGTAAGTGCTGTCAATGTCAGTTGGACTACTTCTTAGATAACTATGTGTTAAATATTAAATTGCTCCTAATTGCTGAATGCAATAATTTGCAAGTTTACTAATCACGTGCACAGTTGGTATACAATAATAAGACAAACTATACTGTTGAATTTTCGTATTATAAATGCTACAAATTGCAATTTCTTCCACCTTTAAAATGTTAACACATTTCCCTCGTAGATTGGTATTGAAATATTAATTTAGATTATGTTTAGTTAGCGATATATATATACGTGTGTCAGCGGGCAACTGCCCCCTCCCTCCGCTAGCTACAGCCCTAGACTAACAATATTGATAGTTTTAGTCTATGGTATAATATATTTTACGATAGTAGCCGTCGGATTAAGACCGTTTTGCAGTAACGCGCGTTCGTGATTAGTCGTGCCTGTGTGTCGATATGTGGTGCTACATATAAGTGATAATTGGCTATGTGCGTAGCAGCCGGGATATAAATGAAAATGGTGCGCGAAAATGGCACAATTTACATACACTCACCATTCACATTATATTTATGTTTATCCACGTTAGCGCATAACTTATATGTTACGCGCAATCTTCCGATCTGCGCAATCTTAAGATTGCGCTGCGCATTCTTATCGAGCCAAGCAACCGATCGGCAGGCTTAACTGCGCGGCAATCTTAATATAAGATTGCGCAGATCGGAAGATTTCGTATTCTTAAAATCGCGAAATTGCGCGAGGCTCCACAGGTACTTGAAACAAACTAAAATATACGTTTGCAACGAAAGATTCTTGTAATATAATATTATTATATAGGTTATAGTGTTATTATAGTGTTATATATTAGCAGTAAGTGCCAGTGGATCCCGGTTTTACAGGGTTTGCAGGCAGGGTTGTTGCATATCAGCGTATGTTGGGGTGCTAGAGTTCGATGAGATTGCACAGGGCCGGTTTTACCATCGCATCCCATCGCTGTATTGTTTATTTATTTTGTTGAAAATCCTAGTAATTACCAATTGATGTTGAAAGCAATAATATTAATACTATATATTGTCAATTATATTGATCGTGTATGGGCCGCTATTATATAGGCACGTCGAACGCGAGTAGCGATTATCACGGTCAGTATCTAACTAAATTCGAGCCACGCGAGTTCCTAGCCACGAAATTAACTTGTTTCCGAAAGTTTGTGAACATTCCATTCCAAAAACCTAAACCATGAGAAACATAACCATGTAGCTGTGACGGAAACGACCCGGTTCAGTGCTAAATAACATATCGTACACGTCACAAAACGGTCCTACTATCTTATACCTATTATCTTATAATAATAGATTGGGGCAGCTAGCTTTGTAATATATAGGACCGTTATATATGTATATCCTACCTAATGGATGTATATATCCGTATATAAATATATATATATATATATATATATGTATATATATATATATATATATATATATATATATATATATATATGTATATATATAAAGTTCCTGTCCGTCCACTGATGATTTTTTATTCCCGAATTAAGAGTTGCAGCCACCAAAAGTCCAATTATCTTTATTGGCACTGGGGAGCATATAGATGACTTTGAGCAGTTTAAAGTTCAACCATTCGTCAGCAAACTACTCGGTTAGTTTTTAAATAGTTTTGCACTCTTCTGCTCGAATCACTGTATCGTTTCTCAATATTCAGAATTTAGTATAGCTTTGTACTCACATTTACATCTGTAGGTTTATGTGCACATGTGTTTATATGTGTGGATATGTAAGAATACTGAGGAAATCTGGCGATATATCTGCATCCTTGCTACAATTTACAATTAAAAGTATATACTGTAGTAGTATAATCTTAAAGGCATAATAGGCCCATTGATTATGCAATGTTGACGAATGCTACAGTAACTGGCACCTTGTGTAGTTAATAAGTACATAACCTTGCATCCAAACGCATATTAGCTTGTCCAATATCACTGCTGGTTACATATGATATTTATCAATGTATCATTTACGTGCCGTAAATGTCATCCAGGAGTCGAGCGATGACGTAAAACATTTGTTTGGCCCGTATGTTTTGGACGTCAGATGAAATGGAGGTGCCAGTGGTGGTCCGTGTTTCGTACGTGGATTCCACGTTCATTACAATTATCGCTAGCATGCCAGCTGAGCGCAATACAGCGGCAAGAGCTTTCAAGCAGCTGAACGGTAACAGCTGGAGATGATCTACCAGTGCGCAGAGATACTGCATGTAATGAACGTAATTCACACCGACACTTCGTGATTCTTTTTCACATATTATATGTTGCTTGTAATCTCAAGATCTTCGTATCTTCATTTATTCTCAAGAGTAAAACCATAACGTACAGAATGTGCACTCAGACCACAAGGATTGCAATCACTGACTCATGATAGCATTGAGTACGGCCGAGCATGCGTGCGAAAATGTCCGGTGCACTATAATCTGTATCACACCCTCTTCGGCGACTGCGGTTTGAAACTGTTATCAACTGATTTATTTGACCGCGGATTTCAATTAGACATTTCTTAATAACCAGCAGTGATATTGGACAAGCTAATACGAGTTTGGATGTAAGGTTATGTACTTATTAACTACACAAGGTGCCAGTTACTCTAACATTCGTCAACATTGCAAAATCAATGGGTCTATTATGCCTTTAAGATGAGAAGTAAATAAGTAGAACTAAATAATTATATTTACCTGTAGGTGTTACCGAAGCATTACTTAAATAGGTTCAAAAACAATTATTGTTTTCTTCACTTAATCATATTATAGGCATGGGTGACATAGAAGGGCTGATAGACAAAGTCAATGATCTGAAGTTGGAAGATAATGAGGAGCTCATAGGGAAGTTAAAACAAGGTGTATTCACTCTCAGAGACATGTATGAACAGTTCCAGAACATCATGAAGATGGGACCTTTCAGCCAAATTATGGTATCCAATATTAAGCTGTCTGTATTTTATTATCTATTGTATATTATATTAAAACTACAACCTATACATGTAAATGACATGTATAACATATTGTACATGTAAATTATCTTATGTGAATTGATGTTATTATAATATTTATCCATACGTGAGTTTTGTAAGTAGTGAGTGTATTTGTATCTTTACTTGTGTTTAATCATCAATCTTTTTTTCTACACTTCAATTTTAGGGCATGATCCCAGGTTTTGGAAGTGATTTTATGAGCAAGGGAAATGAACAAGAATCTATGGCTCGTCTAAAGAAACTCATGACGATAATGGACAGCATGAATGACCAAGGTACGACTGCGCGATTAGAATAGTTTTAATTTCTTCATCCTGGTTCTGCTTGGTCATATCTAAAAATTTTACAGCACTTGCTTTGCCACCTGTCAAATTTGCACAGTTTGCCTATACACCAATAACGTGTCTACGTGGCATCTTTAAATGTTATGCAGTCAAGGTGCGAAACTGGCTCATCTCTAAAATCTGATCAATTAACGGTGTAATCGTGTGTGTGTGATTGCAATACTGTATACGCCATATTTTTCGCGTACAGATATTTTCGCGAATTCAGACTTGACGGACAATTTCGCGAGTGGTTAATTTCGCGGTCGGTGGATTATGAATTATTCGGTATTATTCGCGTGTTGTTATTTTTGCGGTCTGGGACGCGTTCGCGAAATTCGCGAAAATTAAACCACCACGAAATATACAGCGTAGACAGTACTCGGCTGTCCTTCTCTTCTAGAGCTCGACAGCAAGGAAGGTGCAAAGCTGTTCAGTCGGTGTCCCGGCCGCGTGAACCGCGTCGCGCGAGGGGCTGGGGTCTCCGCACGCGACGTGCAGGAGCTCATAAGCCAGTACACGAAATTCGCCGCCATGGTGAAGAAGATGGGTGGCATCAAAGGACTCTTCAAGGGTGAGGTTTATGACAGACGTGCATGGTTTATGACAGACGTGTGTGGTTTATGACAGACATGCTGGCGTAGCATGACAGCCTTTCCTCTCGTGACGAGATTTCCTTCTATACATTGTGCAGGGGCAAATGAAAGTAAAATTCCCCCTGCACCAATTAAATGCACCCTGCTAGACATGGCCATATAGCCATATATGTATGTATAGGGGATATCTTGTCATTGGGGGAATGTTGTCATGCCACACTGGTCACATATATCCTACTTAGTTTATTTACTTATATTCTACTTATAGGTATTCTATTCTATTCTCTTCTGTTCTACACTATTGGAAGATGTATTTACTTCTGTTCTACTTATAAGTATTCTATTCTATTCTCTTCTGTTCTACACTATTGGAAGATTTTTAATTGTAACTGCTGCGACATTCGGAATGCCATTCTTCACATTGACTGACATCTCGTATACTGGTGTCATTTATAAGTTATGCCTCGGTAGCTGCTGCTGCTTCGATATTTATAATCAATTCTGCTACCTAGTGTTAACACCATTTATCGTCTGTTACTCACACTTGTGGCTTAGAATGTATGGAATTTAACGGGCTACATAGTTTCATCTGTGTTGTATAATAATAAATTGTGAAATGTATTCTGTTTAGACAATGTTAGACATTATGGCCAAGATGTTTACGCCGAGTTGTTTGTTTGTTTACATCAATAGGTGGCGATCTGTCGAAGAATGTAAATCCAGCCCAAATGGCAAAACTCAACCAACAAATGGCAAAAATGATGGATCCACGAATCTTGCAGCAAATGGGTGAGTAGGTGATTCGTAATTTTTAAGGGGTTTAATGGTTTGTTAAAAGTAAGTATTAAAAATTAGAATGTGATTAACTATTTTCAACGTCTCTCTCTCTTGCTCTCTTTGTTGCAGGGGGCATGGGAGGCTTACAGAGCATGATGCGACAGCTGCAAGGTGCTGGGGGAGGTCTTGGAAATTTAATGGGTGGGGGACCAGGTGGTGGTAACAAATGATCCAAACATAACATCCAGATTGTGTAGGTTTTAACACTTGTACAGTAAATAATCACAGTCTGTATAAATGCTTTATGTTGTATGTTGTGATCATGGGAAGGAACCGACTGTATCATATTAATTTTGTTACTGTGCTTTGGTTTCATGTATACCACGAATAGCCAGATATATTGCATGAATGCGTGAATGGGTATTAGAATATATTATATGTTCTGCGGTTCATATCTTGTAGTTTAAAATTCTGATTATGGGTTTAGTTGGCAAATTAAAGTTGTACAAATGTCAAACAATCTTTCTTGCTAATTTATTTGTGTAGGAATTGCATCCTTGAAGGATACACGCAAGGATTTTTTTCGAAATTTTAATTGATTTTTAAGACGCGTTCACACGGACGTTTTTGGCCCGAGCCTAATTAGGCCTGTGCCAGATTTGGCTCGAGCCGAGCGTTCACACGGACGTTTTTGGCCCGAGCCAGATTTGGCCCCATCGAAAACGTCGGACCAGGCCCGAGCCAAATGTTAGCACCAGCTTTCGGCGAGCGGTAGAGAGGTAGAATCGGTTGAAACAGTATAAAAAGTATAACTTTATAACAGTATAAAAATTCCAAAACAGTATAAAAGTTCCAAAACAGTATAAAAATTCGAAAAATTTGATTAGGATGCACGTTTTAAAGATTGATAATTAAACTCGGAACGTAAGTAAACACTCTAAATAGTAAACAACGCCATCTCGCGACATACTGCCAATTTATCTGTGAGATATTTGTGCAATAAAATTTATTTTAATTTTAATTTTAATTTGACAGACAGTATTCACTTGCGTACGTGTGAACGCGCCGACTCAAACCGGCCCGAGCCAAATCTAGCCCATTTGGCTCGAGCCAAATCATGACCGTGTGAACGCGACTTTAATTATCGGTCTTATTCGATGGCTAACACCAGGTGCCACCTCTGTACGTGCGTATTTCTCCATATATATAATGTATCATTGTATATAAACTGTCAGAGCGTTTTTATTCTCCACGTACGTGTGCACTGTGCAGTGAGCCGTGGCCTTATAAATGTGGGAAACCTTTTAATCATCATGGAGAATATTTATGGAAAAAGCCAGTAGTACTGTTACGTGGCTGTATAGTTGGGTTGATTAGTAGTTGTTCTAAGACTCCCATCTTAAACTCAGTCCTACATCCCTAATTCTGATTTTAACCATCCCATGTAGATACTGACCAGGCAAGTATGGCTCATAGGGTCTATGTCCCCCAGGGTACTGCCGGAACGTACCCTGGGTACGGTCCGGTATACCGGAACGTATACCCTGGTAACTATCTAGCTGATAGGGTTAGGGAGTATAGGCGTAGACGACTCCCTAGACTCATTAGTGGAGTAGACGAGGTACGGTCCGGCATATTAGATAGTAGTATTTAGTACCAGGGTAGTTCCGGCAGTACCCTGGGGGACATAGACCCTATCAGCGCAAGTATGGGCCCACTCGTAGTTTAGCACATATGCAAACTATATTTACCGGGGTCCCAAACTAGGAGTGAGCACAAGTATGTGCCTAGTTTTGTGTCAGTTGTGGCGTTTTCCAATTGACGATGGAACCTGAAAAACTTCTAGCAGAAATCTAATTTTATGATATTAATTTTCGAGGCCCTCGACCATGATTTTTCATTCCTCTATTTTTCTGGTCTTTTCTGAAGCGAGGCTGGCAATATTGTATTCCCAGATCGCTTAGCAGGTAAATCAATGGTCATGACAGCTGATACCATACAAACAGAACCGACATTGTCCAAACAGAGTTTTTCGAGGCATGTGCCATTTATAATCCTGCAGGTCAGTAAAAATACAAATCAAATGTATATACCCGTGAGAGTCATACCATCAGGAACATGACAGAAAGCTTTTTTTATAAGTACGTGAGAAATCTACAATGACTGTTGAAAACTTCAATAAATGGGTTTAGAAAAAACAAGTGACACGTTTCGTCAGAGTGGCAATTGTAAACATTTTAGTAGATCAGCATTTCACAGAGATGAAACTATACACATGGTACGAGAATTTCGCCTCGTTTTCAAATAACTACGGGCGCATGCAAGGGCGTCAACAGCTTGTCAAACGTGTGGGGGGGGACATTTTGAGGGAACAGAGCAAAGGAGCGGGGGAGGGTGTGGGAGGGGGGCTTGCCCCTGCCACGGTAATGACTTTTTATTTTTGGGTATTAAAAACAGGCGTTTTAATGCATTGTAGAGTATGTTTATGATGCTGCAAAATTAGACAGTAGTTTATACAGAAAATACAAAAATTTACTTTAGATGCTCTTTGGTGTGATCTGAGGCATTTTCCAACCATTCTCATTCATTCTTTTAAAGCATACACCTATTCAAGTTGTTTTCAAGGGTTCTGATCCCAAAAAAGTGAGGGGGACAAATGATATGATGTCCCCCTACTTTTGAAAGTGGCCCTACCTGTTGACGCTCTTGGGTGCATGCAAAACTAATAGAGATAATCTAATGAGTTGCGAAGAAAATTGATCAACACTGCCATCGGCCAAGGGCAATATACATCATATATATGCACTGTTATCCGGGCGCGGTCTAACTGAAGTGCGCGTACGATGTTGCTTTATGTGTTTTAACTTTCACACATGGTAAAAGCTATTTGATGATTCTTCTAAAAAGATGCAATTCTGGCTATTGGTGGTACTTGCAATTGCTCTTTGACGCGCCTGTGTAGCTGCCATTGTAGCGAGGAAATGAAAGTTTGATGACTTTTTAGCTTATCTGACATAGTCGGATGCAGCTTGTAGAATCGCATGAGCGTGCGTCCGTCCGTGCGTCCGTGCGTCCGTGCGTCAACAGTTGGGCACAAATCTTAACCGCTCGACGTACGGTCACGATATTCAGGACGTGTGGGGGTAATCCGAAAACGAGTTGGGATGTCGAGGCTGGGGTTAAAGGTCAAAGGTCAAAGATCAAAAGGTGTAAAAGAAGGGGGAACATTTCCTCCTTAACTTAAGGTATAGGGAGGAAATGCAGAATTGCGGCACAAATCTAAACGGCTTGACCTAAGCTCGTGATAGTCGGTGTATAGCATCATGGTAGGGAAAGCCGTCACTGTGCCGAAATTGGAAGTCACAGGTAAATGGGGCATAGGGCAGATTTTAGAAATTTTTTTAGGACATGGTCTGACGGAGCGATTGAAAAACCTTTTTGTTTCAGCGGTGACCTACCATTTTTATGGCTTTATTGAAAGGACCATGAAATGTACTTTCTGCTGACATGCGAAGAGTAAGTGTCGGATAACCTTTTGACTCTCAAGAGGAGGGTTAAACATTGATTTGTTGACGGTTAACAAAGGCGCCCTGTCAAGTTCCTATTTTTTCCTATTTTTTCCTATTTTCTGGGCAATTCCTATTTTCTCCTATTTTCTGGACAAATTCCTATTTTTTCCTATTTTCTGGGCAATTCCTATTTTCTCCTATTTTCTGGACAAATTTCTATTTTTTCCTATTTTTGAGGGCTTTTCATTTTTCTGAATCCAGAATTGTATGTATCTTTCTCAGAATGCAGGAATTTACATTTCAGGGGACCGAATTTTCAAAAATTTCCTAGGGGAGGACCCCCAGACCACCACTCCTTACTTTAAATTAATGTAATATACTCTTTACTATCACAGATTTTATTTCAGTAAAGTTGTTTCTCATTTGGATGTGGTATGTGTATCCAGAGGGGGGGGGTCCAGGGTGTCCGGACCCCCCCTTTTTTACCCCAAAAAAGGGAAAACACATAAAAGATAATTTTCTGCTTAAAAATTTGGAATTCCATCTTGCATTCTAGACATCAAAATTACTGCTCAGATGCTTTCTTGGGGGAGATCCCCCTAACTCCCTCCCCCCTCTAAGTGGCAACGTGCCTTAGACACGTCGCATAAGCTGCCTTTGGCACTTTTTTTTTATAAAAGTGCCCTTTATTTCTTACTGGACCCCCCTTTTTCAAAAAGCCGGATCCGCCCATGTATACATGTACGTCATACTATTTTGGAGTAGTCTACATGTATGGGTGCTTATGCATGTATAAACTGCTTATCAATTTTAACATGCATTTCTCATTAAAACCTCAAAATATTGTTCGCATGTGATGTAACTCCAAATATGTATATTAATAAAACCATTTGTGGTGGATCGGGATGGCTGTAGGGGTGTTGGGAGGCCATCTAACGCAACAAATATTCCTATTTAACATGTATTTTCTCACCAAAATTCCTATTTTCCTCCTTTTTTTCACATCTGAAATTCACTTGTCACTTGACGCCCTGCAAAGGACTGAACTGCTTTTTCTATATTTAAAGCCCATACCTGTGTGAATGTGAGGCTACAGTTGCACAGTTGAATTGCAAAGGAAAATGTTTGTTGAACAAGGTTTACGCTCCTTAAATCATATTATTTTCTAAAGCAGTCTGTCTATAGCACCCTGAAGGCTGAATCAGTGAATACTCGCGTGGGTAAGCAAAAACACGGGGCAGCCTATGGCTGGCACGCTTCTAATCATAATTGTTGCCTGCCAACCTGCAATGCACATGTGTCTGCAATGCATAGAGATTAGGTGGGTGCGAAAGTGTAGCTGATATATTTGTTTGAATTGGCTACGAAAGTCGAACAAGAATAGAGAAGACTTATGTATAAGACGTCTTGCTATGCACAAATGAATTTATCAGCAGAACACCAGACACCAGATGACCCTGTCGCACTGCGGCACTTGTTTGTATTATTCTGCTGTGTTATGTCTCAGGGCCGATTGGCAGTGTGTGCGCGTGTGCGTGCGTGCATGCGCGCGTGCCCGTGTGCCCGTGTGTGCGTTGTGCGTACTAGTTGTATCAGCACAGTTACGAACAGTACAGTACAGTTACAGTTGCAGCATACTTGTGTGTTTATGAAGAACTCATTTAATTTCATAACAGATTTGTTCGTATTGCGGTAATCAACGTCATTCCTCAAGAAATCTTAACATGTCGCTGGGTTTTTTTTTGCAAAAAATAATACTATTGTGCCGTCAAGTCTGTGATCGCTAACAGCCAATATATATATGAACTCTCCTATCAAATAAAGCCCGCTTTATGCTAAACGCGACACACAGCCGAGTTGAGTCACGCACATCGCTGGATTTCAGGCGGATGGCATGCGATTGCTTCATCGGGTTTGGAAAGCAGCTCGATATCCCGAGGAAATTACACGCGTGGATGTTACGTTATTGGGCATTCCGTAGCATTATTGGGCATGTAGTAGCTGACCTCAT